TTTGCTCTGTTGAGGCAATCATCACTGAATTCAAAAATTCAAAAATGTTTTTCCAAAACAACACATATCTTTAAAATATCGCTCCAGATGTTACCATTTAGAGCCAATATTTTATGATCTACACTGTCTCCAGATACAGCTAATGTTAAAAGTGTTCTTTGAAATCAAATATATTAAAACAACATCTATATTTAGCAATAAAGTTTCAAAATTAGATAGGTGTTGAAATGGATGAAAGCTTTGATCCTAGTGATAAAGGATTAGGGTTTATGTTAATTTCAAAAAAAAAAATTGTGGCTCAAAAATGAACATTATGAGACATAGTTTATATGGAAATTAGTTTACTGTAATAAGCATGTGAAAAAACACAAACACACCATTCTCAGCAGAACGTAAACATCAGGCTGGGGCATGTTTAGGAAGGGCAGCTTTGAGGAATGACCCAGTTCCTCAAAGGAAGAACATGTGGTTGGCATTTCTGCTGTTCAGGATGAGGTGCACTTTAAATGAGGACTTACTTTTCTACCTCCAGTGACATCACCTTGAACTTCTAACACAGTTATATTGTTTGGTTGCAAGAATTTTTCTTGTACCACCAGCATCTTCTTGCTACACTGTCCAATGATTATATGCCAGTAACCAAGTATCACAGTCACTTTGCAACTCTGCAATGCCAGTCTAGGTCTAGGAAGGAATGACCAGGCCCTAAAGCAATATAATCTATGACTATAAGTGGACAGCTCTTTCACCCTGACCAGCATTCATCTTTTCACTTCAGTTTTCCTTTGGGAGACTACTTTCTTTCACTCTAGGCCACTGCAGTAGCATCATCAATCTAAGCTCCTAGAGCCACAGGATAGGTACATAATCCTGGTTAGAGGAAAAAGATTGCTAGAAATTTGATTCATGAGAACAATGACATACGATAGAAAATATAAGAGCTGAGATATTTTGATGGCAGGGCTCTAGAAGGACTGTCCTTCAGTTTCTGTAACTTCAGATTCCAAAATTACCGTGGTTTTTATCTTTCCTAAGGCTGTGGACCCAGCTTTCCTTAGACTTTATAAACTGTCCTCTGTCATGCTGACAAATTTTGTTTTGCTGAAGATAGCCCAAATGAGTTTCTACTGCTTGCAATCAGAAAAACCTACCTGATCCATTCACTGATGTTACTATCAGCTGTTTCCCAAAATTGGAAAGCTGGAATCTTTAACACTTTAATGTTTATTGTGGATCTTTGTTTTGTTTTAAAAGAGTTTTCTATCAAGAGTTCTTGAACAGGCCAGGCATGGTGGCTCAGGCCTGTAATCCCAACACTTTGGGAGGCTGAGGCAGGCAGACCACTTGAGCTCAGGAATTCAAGACCAGTCTGAATATGGTGAAACCTTGTCTCAACTAAAAATACAAAAATTACCTGGGTGTGGTGGTGCTCACCTGTAATCTCAGCTACTTGGGAGGCTGAGGTAGGAGAATCACTTGAACCCGGGAAGTGGAGATTGCAGTGAGCCCAGATAGCACACTTCAGCCTGGGTGAGAGAGCAAGGCTCCGTCTCAAAAAAAGAAGAGTTCTTGAACAACTGTGAGTTAACTTCAAATCGCTTTTTCTCCTAAAAAGATAGTACAGTACTTTTATGAGTGAAATAAGATACTCTGCCAACACAGTAGTGACCAAAAAAATTTATTAGCTTTAGTCTCCACCCTTTTAAATGTGCTCTAGGTACAAAATAAACATTACATATGTATAAGTTCAGTCTTTCCAACTTTAGAATGTATAAATAAGGATGACAATTTTTAAATAAAATACTTTAGTCACAATCATACAAAACTACCTTCTAAGGAAATCTGACCAGTGAGGCAGTTAAATTTGTACTTTCAGCTCTGAAGAATTAAACTTAAAATGCATTCATCCTTTCTGCTTTTAATGAAAAATAATACCTACCCTTGGAAACAGCATAAGCATTGTTATGCTGGTCTAGCTCCTAAATGAAAATGTGGACTGAGTTACAGTTTACTGTAATAACCTAAGAAGCCTTTGAAAATTAGCAATGGATCAAAATATTTACATAAATTCAAGGCTTTTTCTTAGGATGAAAGGTAACACAGTTCCTTAATGTCTTTTAAAAGAAACTTTGAAATTAAACCTTATGGTCACAACTAGTCAAGACTTTCATTCAAAAATGTTGCTTAAATATCAAATTTCTCTTCACAGACGCTATGTCCATTTTCTTCATAATCTTCTCTTGTTACCACCATATCTTCAAAATCATCATTCTCTGATATCAATTTTCCACCTTCCCAGGCATAAGTAATAGGGCTGAAAATAAAGGTATAAATGAACCCAGATGATTTTACAGGAAAACTGAAATGCCTGAAACATAAATTACTATTAGGTTGGTGCAAAAGTAATTTGTGTTTTTTGCCATTAAAATGTGGCAAGTTTTACCCAACAGAAAATCATTTAAGATACAGAAATAAGAATACATTTCACATGAGTAGAGCAAACTAAAAAGGAAAGGAACCTCTGTCACCGCTACAAAATAGTAAGTGTTCCTTTTTCCCTATGTCCTGAATTTATGGACCCTCTAATTCCAAAGAAAAAAAATATACATATATAAGCAAAAGATCAAAAGATGCCTAAAAGGAAAAACTGTCATACTGAGTCTGAATTCTGTATGTGGCAAAGATATGTCATCTCAATAATTCTCATAGCAACCCATAAAATAGCTATTACTCTCACTTTCTAGATTTGAAAAATGAGGCTCAGAGAGGTTAAGTCTGGAACTAGAATTTAGGCTGGTACTAGGATTTAACTCAGAACTATTTTACAGTCTGTACTTTTGCTGCTACACTTTGTTGCCTCTAATAAATGAAACAGAAAACATAGGACATGATAAACAATTATGTGGGAGGACACAGATAATAGGTAAAATTTGAGCAGGTATAGTTTGGTTTTGCTATCTACAACTAAGGTTATTCTTTGTGTTATGACTCAATTCTATTTCTATTCTTCTTCTTCCCCAGTTTAGAGTTTCAAATCTATAAAAGGTAAAGAAAAATGTTAAATCAATGTTTTCTAGCCTGGTGTGGTGGCATATACCTGTAGTCCTAGCTACTTAGGAGGCTGAGGCAGGAGGATTGCTTGGACCCAGGAGTTTGAGGTTGCAGTGAGCTATGATCACACAACTGCCTGGATGACAGAGTAAGACTTTTATCTCTATTAAAGATCAGGCATGGTGGCTCACGCCTGTAATTCCAGCACTTTGGCAGGCCGAGGTGGGAGGACTGCTTGAGCCCAGAAGTTCAAGAACAGCCTGAGCAACACAGTGAGACCCTATCTCTACAAAAAAATTTTTAAAAATGAGCCAGGCATGGTGGCGCATGCATGCAGTCCCAGCTACATGAAAGCTGAGGTGGGAGGATCACTTGAGCCCAGAAGTCAAGGGGGCAGTGGGCCATGATCACACCACTGCACTCCAGCCTGGTGACAGAGTGAGACTGTGTCTCAAAAAAAAAAACAAACAAACCCCAAAACCCAACTTGGCTGGGCATGGTAGCTCACACCTGTAATTCTAATGCTTTGGGAGGCTAAGGCAGAAGGATCACTGAACCCAGGAGTTAGAGGCTAGCTTAGGCAACATGGTGAGACTCTGTCTCTACAGAAAAAAAGAAAAGATTTCTTTTCCTTTTCTTTCTTTTTTTTTTTTTGAGACAGGGTCACATGCTATTGCCCAGGCTGGAGTGCAGTGGTGCAATCCTAACTCACTGTAACCTCAAACTCATGGACTCAAGCGATCTCCCTACCTTGGCCACCCAAAGTGGTCAGATTACAGGCGTGGGCCATCAAACCTGGCCAATAAATATTTCTTTATTGTATTTATTATATTTGCATTACCCTTTTATAAAAATTGATTTATATATAAGTATACATATAAAAAAGCAGTAAACAATAAAAATTTATTGAATAAATTAATAAGACCTATTTCGGTGGATCACTTAGCCTGTAATCGATGCATGCAAGATAAAAATCCAATATGCTTTCTACTCTTGAGAATGTATAAACATTAATGGTGATAAAAATCATCCCAATATTTTAAAATTGTTCATTCATTTATCTCACAGCTATAAAATAAAGTGATACCAATGAGAGCCTTCTATTAAATTCTACTAATTTCGGAAAATTCTACTTTAGCTTTGAAACAAAACTGTAGAATTGAGAGTCAGGTATGTGGGGTCTTGTTTGCAACTCTGCCACTAACACTAGGGGTGGGTTTTTTTGACATATACTTTAGTAAGAAGTCCTCACTGAAGGTAAGAAAACTGGGTTTTAATGTGATCATTGCTATTAACTCACCATAAGGCATTTGCCAACTCATGAGCTCCAGTTTCTTTATTTACAAAATAAGAATATTGAATAGGATGATCTATAAACCTTTCTTTGAGCTGTAAAACTCTACCTTCATTTTTTTGTTTTTTTGGGGGTTTTGTTTTTGAGACAGGGTCTCACTCTGTCACCTAGGCTGGCATACAGTGGTGCAATCTAGCTCACTCCAACCTCTACCTCCTGGGCTCAAATGATCCTCCTACCTCAGCCTCCTGAGTAGCTGGGACTAACGGTGCACACCAGCACATCCAGCTAATTTTTTGTATTATTTTGTAGAGACAAGGTTTCACCATGTTGCCCAGGCTAGTCTCAAATTCCTGAGCTCAAGTGATCTACCTGTCTCAGTGTCCCAAAGTGCTGAGATTATAGGTGAGAACTACTGTGCCTGGCCCTACCTTAGGTTTATTTTAACCACTAAAGTGGAAGTGATGAGATGCACTTTTTCTCATATAACAGGGTATGGGGTAGATGTAAAACAATTCTGAATTTTAAGAAACTCATTAGTAAAAGTCATTTAAAATATTTAGAATTTTTTAAAATTCTGAAACAACTTATGAATTGATAAAACGTATCACAATGGTTTGATTCTTAAATTTCTATTCTTGACAGAACTGTCAAGAAACACAATGACTGGCACTGTACATACTTCTATCCCATTTAATTTAGTGAAATGTAAGGTTTATCATTTCAATTTTTGAAAGAAGAAAAATGAATATTCAGCAGGTGAAATAAACCAGCCACCATGGGAGAGCCAGGCTTTAATCTCAAGTCACCAGACCACCTTTTCTACACGCCGACTTCCATGTTTGTTTCTATATAAAACAACACTTACTTTTCAGGCAGCACAACAGAAACATCATAGTCTGTTGGAGTAAGACATCGAACTTCTGAGTAAACTCGATCCCTAAATCCTGGGAAAAGGGAGTTTCCTCCTGTCAAGACAATGTTCTTAAAAAAATGTGGCTGCATTTCTTTAAAAGAAGAAACGGAGAAAGAAGGAAAAAAGGCATTAGAAAATCTGTTTACTTTTTTGAAACGATGTGGATGAGGGATCAGATAAGCAATTAAGGATTATAGTTACTGGTGGGAAACCAAATAAATTTTCCGGTCCACTCTGATTTGTAATGAGATTACAGTTTATACAAGTGAAGACATTAAACAGTGAAATATGACCTCACAGATCTTTAAAAGAAAAAGCTAAGTGAGGAAGGTAAACTACTGGCTACTTATTGTACACTCATGTAAGCCATATATAAGTGAGTGACACTATAGTAACAAAGAGTTGATAATTATAATAATTCTTCTCTAAAATGGAGGGGGGGTCTTGCTGTGGGCTGAGACTGTAGGCTACCATAAGGATGAAACCAAGGTCTTTAATGACATTTGAACTTACAAGTCCCAATCTCCATATTATCTCACTGAGGCAAATTTATGTTATACAATACTTACCTTTGATAGTTAAAAACATTCGTAATCTTTGTTTAAACAAGGGATCTAAGCATGAACACTCATTAAAATTACATGATAGCAAATGTTAAGTATTAAAAGCCAACAAAACATCACTGGGAAATCCATCAGGAATAGGTACGGGCCATCCCACCTAATGTTTCTGTTCACCAAAACAAGGGCAGAGTTTCCTTATAGTGACTTTTAAGTCTCACTCTGCCATGACATTAAAGCAGCGTAGTACAAAATGTTGTAACACTGTGACTGCAACTTTATATAAAATGTGAAATATCAAAACAGCTGTGAAATAATTATGTTAAGGATAGCAGTGGGTTTTTCTTTCTTTTTTTTTTTTTTTTTTTTTTTATGAGAGGAAAGCACATGGCCTGTGCTAGATTTTCTCCAATGCCTACTTCTTGTGAACCAGGGAGATATTAAAGTACTCTAAAACTCTAGAACATTATTTACTTAAGGCATGAAATCACTATGAAGCACCATATTCCAATCTCTTTAATATTAATCCTGTATGTTAGTCTAAATATAACAGAAAGAATAAGTCAATCCATCAATAGCTGAAAGCCATTAAATTGTTAAATTATAAATTTCTATTCTATACAGATCTGGATTAAATTAAAACTTTTCTAAAATGGATATGGCAATTTAATACTCATGGAGAGACACGTTTCTTCAAGTTTAAATGGACCATAATCATTTTTCCTCTGTCAAATTTATAATCACAAAAAAAAGATAAAAGAAAAAAAACCTTATAATCAAAGATGAATCAATAATTATTTAAGTGCATTATGGGATCTAGAAATCTCTGCAAATAAAACAGACTCACCAATTTGCCTGAAATTATTTAGAAGAAACAGAGTTCATAAGATGATGTTTTTAAACAATTATAATTATTTAGCATTTTACTCTATTTATGTACCTTCAGGTAGATTCTGAATTGAATAGACAATAGCTTCTGGAATTCCCATTTCTTGAATGCCTATATCAGAAGGATTAAAGAGTATTTCTGGAACAGCAAATCTCTCATTGGCCAGACGAAGAATTTGTTCCCCAGATTTATATTTTCCACTCAACACCATCTCTTCCCTTGGCTTAAAGAAAAAGAATATTAAACGTTTAAGTTACATTATATAGCTAACATGACTAGTTCTTGGAAGTTTCAAGATTCTCAAAATTTAAAAAAATGTGGCTGCCTTTACTGTTGCCAAAACCACATAAAACATAACTAAATAATTACTGACGCTAATATGGCTGTTCCTTCACAGATAATTTGGAAGCTTTATTTACTATGTATTCAATCTCTATTCAAAATTAGTTTCCAAATGATTTAAGCAAGTCCATGGTCCTTATCCTCGAAATTACCTTATAATGTGAATTTTATATGCATGAGGCCTATGTATAACAAACAAACTTTAAACAACCATGACTCATATTTTCTTGTTATTTATTTTCTGCTAACCCACCCATTCTGTGAGCTGTAGCTGATTGGGCTAGAAAAATAATCTCTCTCCACAATATTCTAGATCATTAAAATAATGGTCCCTCTCAATTTTACAACTATCAGCTTTCCTAGATTCAGTTAAAGACATTCCTTTCATTTGACTTATAAATGCAGTTGTCCTCTCATAAAAGGATAGGTCCCAGTTCCTTATAAGTATAGAAACACTTAAAATATATTAAAATATTAGCAATGTATTATTAAAGAGTAATAAATAAAGAATATTATAGATTCCTTAATATAATCAGCCATCCACTATTCAGATTTCAGCTTCCTGAGAGGTTTTTTCTGATGTCCAAATAAAGGATCCTTCACCATTCTCTATCACCCAATATTATCCTCTTGGCTTATACTGTTATTTACCATCACATATCCACTAACTAGCATTAAAAAAGTACCTGGTACACAGTAGCTACTCAAATTCTTGAATAACAGCATGCAAGACAACAGCATGTCATTCATTAAACATATTACATACATGAACTGCACTCTCATATAACCCTGTAAGATGGGCATATTTTCCTTTTAAATTAATGATGCAATTAGGCCCTGCAAGGCTACATTACTTGTTCAAGGTCATTCACATCATAACCCAAAGCACATACAAAATATTCCTTCCACTATACTACCACTCATAACCTGGGTATAAATAGTTAGATTTTGATCATTTGGAATTCCATGCTCAAAATATTATTTTTAAATAAAAATATCCTGAAAAGTATATAATATTCAAATACTCTAAGAAGACCAGAAAACTATAAATCACTGTTAACCCAAAATACTGCTATAGTAACAAAGAGAAAAATATTATGCCTCATAGAAATATTCTTCCTTCTTAAGCAGAATGGAAAATCTTTCCTATGAATTTATAAATTCATTAAATTCCAGCCACTCATTGGCTTGAGTTTAAGGGATATAACTAATTTGTCAACATTCAAAGTAACCTGAGATAGATGCAGACTTGGAGAATTTCAGTTGACAAAACATTAGACGTTACCTAGTTTATAGTCCTATGTGACAGAAGAGGATCATGTGACTTATTCTGGATCAAATGACTAGGGGAGAGAGTCAGAACTAGAAATCCTTGTTAAATGTTAGCACTAAAGCCATTAACTATTAACATGTAATCTGGAGGCAGGGCACACTGGCTATGCATATAATCCCAGTACTTTAGGAGGCCAAGGTGGGAGGATCACTTGAGCCTAGGGGTTGAGACCAGCCTGGGCAACATAGATGAGCGTGGTAGCTCATCTCTACAAACAACTTTTTAAAAACTTAGCCAGGCTTTGTGGCCACCACCTGTGGTCCCAGCTACTTGGGAGGCTAAGATGGGAGGATCACTTGAGCCTGAGAAGTCAAAGCTGCAGTGAGTTGTGATCGTACCACTGTGCTCCAGCCAGGGCTACAGAGCGAGACCCCCATCTCAAAACAAGACAAAAAATGTAATCTGGTATAAGTAGTTTTTTTTTTTAAGAGTATAATTTAAAAAGACTTTTATTTTAGACATAAACGAAACATATAAGTGTCACTAGGAGCTGCTACTTTAGGTCATGTGTCAATGTAAGTCATGATTACTACATAGCCCTCATAAAGTTAGTTCCAGTACAATTAAAGATATGGTCAGTTTATGTTATATTAGCTCTGTAGAAAGTGGTAATCAATAATGAAGATTATTTTCTCAATTTAGCTCGGTCAAATTCATTACACTTTAGTAGGCTTCCTTTCTGATAAGAAAGAAAACTGGAATTTCTATCGGTTGTTATCTGTAATGATATTACAGACCTTATTTTTATTGCTATTGTTACTACCATTAACATTAAAGCTATAAAATCAAGTATGTAACTTTTTTCCAACTACTTAAAAATATTCTTAAAACTATCAGAGTTCAAGTGTTAATAAAATCCTAGGAATAAAGGCTCTCAGATAAATGTTCATTTTAATCAAGTATTAAAATGGAAACAATATACAAAAATCTCAATATATAAAATATAACTGTTTCTAAGTCTTAAAAAAATTAAGATGATTTAACACAGACTCTGAATAAGGTATTCATTTTTAACAAAATTGACAAGAAACATTTGCTGTAACACTGTATCATCTGCCAAAACCCCAGTCCCAACAGACTTTGTCCACTCATCTGCTATCAAAATACAAATCACATATGAGAATCAGCAAGAGTCTATCCTGAGTAAATGAAGTACAGTCCATAACCAGATCTGTTCACAAGGTCACAAGCCAATAAAAAAACCTTATATGGCTTCTGCCTTTTCTAAAGATGAGTAAAGTAATGGTTAACTGGGAGAATGACCACACCTCTACTGGCTCATTGCATAAGGTACTGACTCAAGAAAACAAGGCTTATAATTTGGCAAGGAAGAACCTGGCAAAGTTTAGAAGAAAATGTCCAATAAACAAATAGGTTGTCATTTGCAGGGAATGAGAATCTTTCTAAATAAAAAAAAATTTCCTAGTTGACTATCCAATCATCTGGAAGAGGTTTTAAATTTTCAAACTTATGAAATAAGCAATTCTAGGAAGAGGAACTGAGAATATGGATACATGTTTTGTTTTGTTTTGTTTTGTTTTGAAGTGCCCCAAGAGATTCTAATGATCAGTCAAGTTTGAAGAGACTGGAAATCACTGAGATTTTTACTCAGAACCATCTCTGCAGATATCAGGATTACTTTACCTCCATTAACCCTAAAGAGTACCATAAATTTTCCACAAGGTATCGGCTATAAAAAAT